AAACAGAGATCCTTTAAGGGTTCTTTTAAAGATTCCTTTAAGGGGGCCAAGAAGGTTCCATAAGGGCTAAACAGGGATTCTCTAAGGGCTCCTTTAAGGGTTGCTATAAGGGTTCTATAAGGGCTTAACCGGGATCCTTTAAGGGTTCCTATGAGGGTTCTAGAAGGGCTTGAGGGTTTAGGGTTTAAGGGCTCATGTGCCCAAACAGCATATACCTAAGGCCTTCAAAGTATATACTGTTTAGGTAAGTGGACCCTTGGGGATCTCTATCTGCTTGCGTTTTGACTTTTACGATATGACTGAACAAAAATGTAGAGACTACTCTTGAAATTCCCATTCTTATGATTAATACTACGAATAGTCGTGAAATGTCGTTTGCATTCCCTGTAACTTCTTCGTCTTCTTCTTCTTCTGGGTTTAGGTTTTTAGGGCAAATGTCTGATGAGAGGCTACCTTAACTGCAAAAGTTGGTATCTAGGGTTTAGGGGTAAACAATTGCCCGACACCTGTACAACAGGGCTGCAATTCTACACATATTGGGGTCCAGATAAGGGTGAATTGCGCGGGGGCGGGAGGGGGGTGGGCTTGGATTCTGTAGGATCTCGAAGGTTGGGTTTTGTGGCTGTCAACGGTTAGGGGTTCGGGTTTAGGGTGTATAGGGTTTTAATCGGGTGGCAAAGTTTCATGGAAAGAGCTGATGGCCCTTGGACCTATCAACCGCAACACCGAAAAGCTCGAAGTCACAAGTCCCAAAACCCCCAAAGACTGCAAACCCTAAACCTGCAAATAAGCTCCTAAACCCCTCAGCCCTATCCCAGATCCCTAAACCCTAAGCTCCTAAAGCCTAAGCCCCTAAACCCTAAGCCCTCAACCCAGAGCCCCCTAAAGCACCTAAAAGCAATAGTACTAGTAGTGACTTAGCCCGCTTTAAGCTCCTAAGAACTAAGCCCTAATGCCTAAACCCTTAATCCCTGTCAGAATTCAGGAGCGCGCCGTTACCGACTCATGCAGCATCGCCTCCCCCCCCAAAAAAAAAAACTAATCCCAAAGCTCCTCATCCCTAAAAACCCTAAACCTTAAACCCTAAACCCCTGAAACCCCTGAAACCCTAAAGCCCTAATCCCAAAGCTCCTAAACTCCTGAAACCCCTAAAACCCTCAATCCAAATCCCCTAAAACTAAGCCCTAATGCCTAAACCCCTAGTCCCAAAGCTCCTTCACCCGGAGCGCCTGGAGACCTTCCTCGTGAGCGCTTTCTCCGGAACCTCGATTTTAAATCCTGGGACGGTCATAGGGGTTTAGGGTTTATAGGGTTTAGGGTTTAGGGATTAGGGTTTAGGGTTTAAGGTTTATAGGGGTTAGGGCTTAGAGGGGTTTAGGGTTTATAGGGCTTATAGGGTTTAGGGTTTATGGGGTTTAGAGGGTTTATAGGCTTTGTAAGGTTTTTTCGGGTTTAGGGCTTAATTATAGGGTTTATAGGGTTTAGGGTTTTTAGCATTTACAGGGTTTAGCTATAGTCACCATTGTAGTTTCGGTTTGGGGTTGCATTAATACCCTACATATACACCTCGTCGAACCAAAAACGAAACTACCGTTAAGAAATTGCAATGGTCTCTTGAGGGAGTTAACAGGGTTCTAGAAGGGTTGGCTGAGCTACCAGAACCTACGGTGCCCTTTGAGTTGTATGTTTTGGAGAGGGGTATACTGCGATTCTACGAAGAAGAGGTTGAAGGAGTTAAAAAATGTTGAAAGTACGACTCGAGATTGGTGTGGGCTTTGAGAACCTCTACGCCTCTGCCCCAAACCCTCAGAAGTGCATCATCAAGCAGTGCACGGACGGTGCTGGGATGTCAAATCATGTGAGTTCCAGTTACTGGGCGTAAAAAAAGTCATGTATGTACACTCTACTGGTGAACCTTCAGGTAATCACCGAGACTCTGGATCTGAAGCCCTCAACCGTATATCCATTAAGGGCTCCTTTCAGGGTTCCTTTAAGAGCTCTTTTTAGGGCTCCCTTAAGGCTCCTCTAACGGCTCCATAAAGGGTACCTCGAGCGAGGGCCCTCGATTTTCCTCAGCCCATGCCAGCTTGACACCGGGCACTGTATCACTGTATAAATCTTGAGGAAACGCACTCCTGAGACTGCTGTGGGACCTAGCGATCTCCAGTCTACATGTGTCCATATAGTATATACTTAGGCCTTAAAGCACCGATATCGGGACCCTTTAAGGCTTAAGAACCTACTACAAAGGTACATGGAGCCTTTGGGAATTTTCGGGCTCAACAAACTCAGGACTTCCACCATCAAAATCGACCGATGACCGGATCAGACTAGGTGGAGCATAGATGAAGTGTCCAACACGAACTTCTTCCACCAGAACAGCACGTGAGTCACATGTAAGATGAAATCAGAAGTCCTGGAACAACAGGTCTCACAGGTCTCAGGCTGTGATATGGTCAATGCGAGATGAGCCACTGGGACCCCAATCCACGTGGCAGACTTGGGCAGGCTTGCTGCAACAAAGCGAGGACCAACAAACCTCAAACTCGAAGACCTTATATGACAAAAACCTAAACCCTAAACCCTAAACCCTAAACCAAACACAGAAAACCGCACCCAATCCCCAAGACTGAAGAGAACCGGAACACCAAACTATTCCAGGGGGGTCTGTATGTAAGTACGAGTACTGCTTTCATGTATATTATTTTGTCAAGAGTGCGTAGGATTGGTTTAGGGATTAGGGTTTAGGGTCTCGGCACCTCCAGACACCGCACCTCCGACCCAGAGAACCCAAGACTCTTTAATAAGAGAATCTAGCATCAGACAGAACAAGGAGGCCTCTTCTGCTTCAAAGACGGTACCCGACATCCCTGCACCCCAAATCCCAAAACCGGTTGAAAGTATACTTCGTATATTCAGGGTTTAAGATTAAGGGTATTACTACGAACATTACCTATTAGTATCACCATCGCCATTACTCATGTCTTAAGACTCACGAGGTTCACGTCTCTGTTTATATGCCAAGCCAGCCTTACCCGGGCCCCCACATGCAAGGTGTCCTGAAGACTTCGAAAGATGGAGGATTTCGCGCAACAGTGTGGTGGCTTTAATGGATCTTGATTCTCTTGATAACAGGTTTGATCGTTTCCGGGTTCAGGGTATAGTATAGGTTTCTTGATCACAGGTTTGAGCGTCTTTCAGTTTATTAACTCTTCCACAACCCTAAAACTTGGACCCTACCTTAACCCCACGTAACCTACCTTTTTAAGGACTTATATAAAGAACTCATATTAGGGAACCCTAAAACGGTAGGTTCCTCAGGGTTAAGGTACACCCTCAAGCCTTATCCCCAACCGTCTCAGAGGGCTCAATAACCCTCCCCTGATTCCCCAGTAGCCCCTCAGCAATAAGGTACCTTTGTTCCTGTTGGATGTACTAAGGGAACCAAAAAAGAAAAAGAGCCAACCTAGACCCTCCAACTACCCTCTATTAGACCCTAAATGCCCCTGATTTGGGACCATATACCCCTAATTGAGGGCTGGATGTACTTAGGGAACCCACAAACAGAAAGAGCAGATGGGTGCTACTCGGGAAACTGGTTCCTTGACACTTCTCTCACAACGGAGTCCCCAGACCGAGGGCTCCAAGCGTTCGGCTTTTACGGGTCGGGGCTGAGAGTTTACAGCTTAGGGTTTATAGGACTAGTGTTGAGAATTCAGGGATTTAGGGTCTATAGATCTAGGGTTGAGAGTTTAAGGGTTAGGGTGGGGTTGCGAGGGTTGTTGACTTGTGCAGGGCTGCTTTACCGGATCTTCCAAAGGCCTGTGAACACGCTGGCATGTGATTCAGGATGCTCGGGAGGGCACCCCATATCGTAAACGATATTTATAAAACCCTATAAAGCCCCATATAAACCCTTATAGAACCGCTGCAGAGTCCCAATTTAATCCGTGTCCAAACTACACAGAACTGCAGACGCGCAGTAAACACTCTGACACCCTATCGAAACGCTACATTGGGCCCCCCTGGCGAAAAAAAACACCAACAACACCGGCAACCCTTCTGAAACTGTGAGGCCTCGAAGCCAGATGAGATATAGATCACTGCAAGCCCTGCACAAATTATGACTCTGAATACTGATTGCTCTTTATGACCTATCTCTGTGGAGCTCAGATGAGTCTTAGGTTCAGAGTTTCCTACTTGCCTTCTCCCGAAGCAAGCCCTGGTAACCATGACCCTGCTCCCGAACCCAGGATGCCTCCATAAGGGCACAACAGCATTACTGACAATAAATGGCTCATTATACCATAATGCTACTAAGGAACCCTAGGAATAATGTCGATAATCATTAAGGCCCCTACATTAGGGCACAACAGCATTACTGACAGCACGAACACTTAATACACACAGTCGTAGTGGCAGTACTAGCCGTCGTCGTCGTAGTAGTAGTAGTAGTCGCAGCAGCAGCAGCAGGAGTAGTAGTAGTAGTAGTAGTAGTCGTAGTAGTAGTAGTAGTAGTAGTAGTAGTAGTAGTAGTAGTAGTAGTAGTAGTAGTAGTAGTGGTAGTAGTAGTAGTAGTAGTAGTAGTAGTAGTAGTAGTAGTAGTAGTAGTAGTGATAATACCAATAGTAGTAACAATAGCAATTATTTGATTATTTGTATGTATAAGAAGGATAACCGCAACAACGATAACAACGATAACAGCGAAAGTTCATATAAAGACAATCAGTACTCAGACTAATAATTGGTACCGGGCCTGGGGTGATCCAGATCTCTTGAATGCAAACCCCTACACCCTGAACGCAACACCGTAAAACCCTGCTCCCAAACCGTAAGCTTCACGTCAGGGTGCCTTCCCGAAAAAAATCACCAGTAAAAGCAACCATGGAAGCGACTTCAGCACGGGGAGTTTCCGCAGTATCCGCAGTTGCTCCAGCACTCCCATTGCAGCCGCCAGGCTGTTTCGGGAACTCACTGCTTTGCTTCGCCAATTTCAGAGCTCATCTGCACTTCTCGGGCCTGGTTTCAGTGGTTTTCAATTTGCTCATTGCCTTTTTGTAGAGGTTCCTTTATGCGTTTCTGAGAGGGTTCTGCTTAAACTTGTTTGATGCCCGTTTTCTCAAAGCCTACGGCTTTGATAGGGTTTAGATTTAGTATAGGGTTGATTGACTACGCACCACAGGCCCGGAACTGGGCGAGCAGTTCATATCATCTCCTGTGCGGGACCCTCGGTTAATTCAGGGCGGGACGCAAGTTTAGGACGGTTTAGGGCTTACTGAGTTTACACAGTTTGTTTATTTCTGTGGGGAGGTAATAGGGTGATCTCGGGTTAATTAACGCTCGACATGTTGATGATCTATGGCGCGTGGCCAACTAGAATTCCGTTGTAAACGAAGCGACCAACCAACAACATGGAGACGTAAAGTGGTCTACATGCTACAGGACTTTGAGCAGCCCAGTGGTTGGACGAATCCAAAAAACTGTACCCCCCTGAAGACGTACCTGCAACAGTGGTTACCCTTAACAGAAACACCGACGTACGAACATCCAAAACCCGGGATATAAAAGTCACACACTTGGACTACTGACCCTCGAAAATCAATTCCTTAGCACACTCTGCTACTCGAAACACCAAACTCTAAAGCTAACCGCAGCTAACCCTGAAGCCGTCGTTGTTGGGTACTTGGACCCTTATACAACCCTTGTGGAAGGCCTCATAGAAATCTTCAAGCCCCTGTTAACACAAGCACCCTTACAAGATGTTAAGACGACCTTTTTATTACGCCTAAGGCAAATTTCCTGGACTGGGTTAGCGAGCCCCTGAGCTTGCACCGCTACTGAAACCTTCTACGTGCAGGCTTTAATAGGAAGGATTCTATCAAGGTTTCGTGGTTCGTGGGTTTAGGGACCCTAAACCCTACTTCGCTCGTGCAAGTTGACGTGTGGGCTCTCACGTGCGGCTTCTGGGATTGGATCTTGTGCTGGCCGGTTTTTGGTCCGACAGGAGGCAAGATCATTACATTTACTAGGATACCCAGTAACCTAAGAATAAAAAATAAGGCCTCTCTTTTTGGTATTGGGTAACTTTACAAGGAACCTAGGACTACAAAAAGGGAACAAGGGTACTACCGGGCATCCTAGGGAGGCAAGATCATTACATTTATGTCGTCTCGGGGAGCCATCTACTGAAGGCCCATGGACAGGTTTCGGGGCTTTACCGGGGTCAGAAGTTCAGAAGTAGCGAACGACAGGTACTTTGGCCATATGCTTCTCCGTCATCAACCTTCAATCATGATCCACGTTTTAGACTGGGGCACACAGTTGCGCACTTTGTGCGCCGCAGTGCGAACTTGCATGATGTTGTTAGTATTTGGGAGGCTGTACTCTTATACTACAGTGAAGCCCTGAAGCCAAAGATGCCCCAGTCGCTTCTGTTGGGTGGGTTCCCACTGCCAGGCGCCGTTCAGCCGGCGGCAGAGGACCTGAGTTGGCTTCTCAGTTCAACCTAAAGGGAACTCCAGAAAGTTGGAATATGGTTTCAGGGTAGGATACCCTATAATTTACCATAAGGGGTTTAGGATAATCATATTCCAACTTTCTGGCTTTTACTGTAGAGCTTGGTTCCTGGGTAGCCCCTTAATAGGACGGGTACTCTTATTCCTCATATTACTGTTTCAGTAAGGAGACCCCAAAATAAAAAGGGCAAAAGGGTACTACCCAGGAAAATAGAGAGTAGGCTGCACATGGTTCTTGTTTTTGGAGGCGTGCTGAGAAAACGCACCTGGTGGATTTTTGCTTTACATGAGTCTTGGCGAGAGAAGGACCGTCGTGTCATGGGAAGTCAACTGACCACCTCGAATTTAGTACCCGTTGGGCCTTAAACTCACAAACGCCACGCTTCAAGCTTCACCTATAGGGTGCATGTACCCAAACAGTATATTAAAGCACTTAAATCAGGACCATTTTGAGCAAGAAAGGTTCATCGCCTGACATGAGGATCGAACTGTAAGGAAGGCAGAAGTTCTGATTGGGGGGACTCGGGGCTTTGGATTCATGGCTATGAGACGTAGAAAGCGGAGGAGTCATTAGGGTGAGCATTGGCATTGCAATGCTCGGAATCTTACACTTGGGATGCTCTCCTTAAACCTTAAACCCTAAGCTGAAGTTACCTTGAACACGAAGCCCTGCACCGAAAGTTGAGATTAGCGGCGAGGTCATTGGGCATGACCGTCACGCGCTTGCAGTGTACTGCACAGACATTCCTCAGCCAGAGCTTCAGAGTCGAGCCCTGCTACTACTAAGGATATTAAGGTTTAGAGTGCGGCTTCACGAGTTACGCGAGCGTCACTATCATACAAGCCTACGTGCAGAACTCTATCAAACCCGCACAAACCTCTAGAAGAACGCATCGAAACCTCCAATAACCGTAACAAACGTCCACAATCGGGTAAACAGCCCGCAAAATCCTGAGCTTCGCCCTCAACCCTAAACCCTCAACTCAAAAGCCTAATACATGGTTTTGGGGCCCGTTATACTGTAATCATAATACAGAACTATAGGTAATTGTTAAGGCCCCTGTAGTAAACCCTCAACTCTATTCAGCCCATATAGTACCTTTGTAGATCCTTTACAACAACAGCCCTTATAGACCCTTTTAAAGGGAACCCTATTCTGTCTAGTTATTCAGGCGCCTTTTTTTATGAAACCCTCAACTCTCTATTCAGCCCAGGGTCATGTCCTCAAAGAGTCCCACGAGCATGCTTTCGCAGGCCTCTTGCAGTGCCAGGAGCCCCTGAGTATCCATGCGATACCTGCTTGGGCCGTAGTTTCTTGGCTGAATACCGTAAAGGGAACTCCAGAAAGTTGGAAATATGGTTTCAGGGTAGGATACCTTGTAATTTACCATAAGGGGTTTAGGATAGTCATATTCCAACTTTCTGGCTTTACTTTAGCTTCTTGGCTGAATACCCTAGCCCAAAAGAGGTTAACCTTTTCAATTATGGTAGGATTATATATATATATATATATATGCATATATGAGCCCCAAAAGGTTGGAGTTGAAGGTTACCCCCTCAGCTACCACGGTATAAAGGGTACGGGTTTGAGGATTCGGGGTTTAGGACGTATTGTTTGCTTTGGGTGTTCCTTGTGAGCTTGATTCTGGGTGCTAACCGGCTAACCTTTGTGGTGTCTATACCTTAGTTCGATTCGAGTTTGTGTGGTTGTAGGATGATGTGTGTTGATTAGGGCTTTGGATAGGGTGTCACATAGGTCTATACGGCCTTTTGGCCTTAGGGGGGTTCGCAGTACACGGGGCTCTGAATTTCAATCCTTGGGACGGTTTAGGGACACGGAAATGCGGCGTTCTTGGATTTTGAGCCTGCTCTTGGGGTTTCGAATTTCGAAGGTCATATGTTTCTAGGGCTTGGGGTTTTCCTGGACCTTGAATTCTTTTGGCTTTGATTGCTGTGGTGTGGCGGCTTTAGTTTTGATGAGTCGTGACCTTGCTCGTTTCTGATACGGATCCTACTATGTCGGCCCTGTATCAGGATCAAATCTTTCCTGAAACTCCTGAAACTTCCAGAAGGGGTCTGCTTCATTTGTTTCGGCTTTCCATATGTACAGTGTTTAATGGAGAAACCTCAGAATCCTCACGTGATTCAGTGGGAAAAGGATCAAGAGAACCCTGAAACAACTTTTATTCAACCCAATTGCCAATACCCGAAACCCCACCCCCTAAACTCCCTAAACCGCACAATGGCTGAGTTCCCTGGCCAATGCAAGGCTGATTTTGGGGCCTGGTAGGAAAAAAGCCTCGGCGAGAAAAGGATGCACACACATCACTTAGAAGGGGCCCCCACCCTGTAATAGTGGTATAATACGAATATAATAGGGCCCTAATATAATCCTTATAGTCACTATTACACGGGGGGGGAGCAGCTTCTGACACATCACCAAGACCAAGCCAGCCTCTTTGGAGGCTCCCAGTCATCCGGAGGCTCCTCACAAGGGTTGCCGGGGGGGGGGTGCAAACTCCTAGGCCTTTGACTAAGGACGGTTTGGGCGTATAGGGCTCGGAGGCTTTGGCGTTTAGGGTCAAGGATCGTGCAAATTGTTGGTGTGACTAACACCGGCTTACTGAATGTCTATGTCCCCTGTTCACGATTGAAGGGTCTACATGTTCAACTAGGTTCTTGAGTAGCCCCTGTATAAGAAGGGTACCCTGTTGCAGACTATAACAAAAAAGGGCGAAAGGCTACTACGCAGGAACATAGTAGACCCCAAACCCCGATGGATCCCTTATAGAACCCCTGACGGAACCCTTTGAGGACTCTTTTAAGGGCACTACTCCGCAACCTAGCTAAACCCTGGACCCTAAACCCTTGTAGAACCCTAAACCCTGAACCCTAATCTCTAGAGCGGCCCGTGCGCTTCACTGCGTACACGAGTCGAAGGCTGCACAAAATCATCCCCTCGGCTTTTTGGGTCCATGTACCATAGTATATATACCTACCCAGACCTACTAAACCATACCGCTTTGCAGGCTGTTTTTCCTAATATGGGATTTTTTCGGGACGCTACACAAAAGTAGGCTCTGGTAGGTTAAGGTAGGCCAAACAGCACCAATATAGAGACCCCGAAATTAATCTAGGGCCTATACGTATATACAATTTTGGCACATGGAGCCTTAAGGCCTCAAGACACTTGAGCCAGGCGACTACGATTTTTCTCTTCTTCAATAACCGCGCCCAAAACAGTTGTAAGATGGATCAAAATGTTCAGGGCAAGCAGTTTGAAGTTCCCAACTGGCCATCTCGGACTCATGACTATGGCCCTTGAGTATCAGCCTGGCTCCTAAGGTGGATAACGCACTCTACACTGACGGCTCCTGCAGATTGGGTATAACTCGACGGCGGTCCGCTCGTCCTTGCCTCGGATAAATCCGGGCTATCGCTTTCAAGGTTGAGGAAACTACGTGGCTCTACAACCCCTACCTATAGTCTCCATTGTAGTCCTTCTTTTCGGTGTAACCAAATATATAGTAATAGTTAGAACCCTCTGAGGTAACCCCAAAAAGGAACTACAATGGGGACTATAGGTAGCCCGCAAAACCGGGGGCGAAGGCCCGGGGCTTCGTCCGTAAATCCTAAACCCTGAAATCCATTAAGAAATGGATCAGTAAGGGTTCCGTTTAAAAGGTTCCTATAAGGACTGCTATAAGGGATCTATAAGGGTACTATAAGGGGTTCTATAAGGTAGGAGCCTGATGAAGAATCCTTGGGCGTTTATTCGGGTTCCTTACATGAATCCTATATGTTGGGGGCTATAGGGCCCGGGTTTCTTAATCAGGTTCCTACGTTACCACGTCCGACTGTCGAAACGGTAGGAAATTCTGAGCGTATATCTTTAAGCCTATTCCCCTGCCTATTCCTCTACAGGACAGGCAAGTCTCTGCGAACCTCGCGGCAAAGACCCTCGGAGGTTCAATACCTGAGACGTGATAGGTCAGAATACCTTGGCCAGCTGCAGCAGCAGCTTCTGCGAACGAGCAGGCCACACATTCAAGAGGCGGGGCGGCACAACTTCTTATTCCTCTCGGTGCTTGTGATTATCCACGCCCTTCAGAATCAGCACAAGAATAAATCGTGACTTATGGGTGGAGAGGCACTTCCTCCTGCTTGGCCTGAAAACCTGGTAATTATGACAGCCTCAAAATATCGAGATTGGCGTCGCATACGACGGCAAGATGCTTCCCAACCCCTAAACGAGCTGACAAACAGGGAACTCTCACACCGTCATGGGCATCAGGCTTGAAAGCCGTGAGGCTGCGAATGTCCCACAGCGACTTGAACATCAAACTAGCACATCCGAAGAGGCCGCGACGATATCACGATCAATTCCCTGGTCCCGAGCCCCCCCCCCCTATGGTAGACGAGAGGCTGCCACTCCTCGTATCCTTACTTCTCCAGCGAATCCGTGTCATGGTTCTTGCAGAAAGCTTAACCCGGAACTAAGCATAAAGTTGTTTACCAACAAAACAAGGAACTACAGTTGAGACTATAGGATTCTTGGAAACCCAACCATCACTCTCAAAGCCAAAACCCACCTCAGGGTTCATATTCTGAGTATTGCATGAATATGACCCTAAACATAAACTGTTCTCATCACTAAGGCCCGAATCATCCGCCATCGCCCTTAACCTTCAGTCTCGACCCTTCTTGGAGAAGGAAACGTATCTCTCAAACCTAAACTCTCAATCCCGACTCCAGCAAGCCGTAACTAAACCCTATGGGTCCCCATCTATAGAGGGTCAAGGGTTTGGGATTTATATAGTGCTTTATCTACACCGTTTCCTGCACACCCTAAATCAAATCCCAAACCCTTGAACGTACCCTACAGCCTACCTCCCACACCCTCGACCCTGACCCCACAAGCTATAGCGTATTGTGGCAGTCAGAACCTGAACCTTAAACCCCCAAACTTTGCCCCAAACCCTAACCCTAAAACAACCCTTACACTCTGAACCCTAAGCCTTAAGCCCTTAACATCCCTTAACCCTAAACAATAACCTTCAAGTCTCTTTCGATGGACACTGCATCGCAAATGTCGCGCACCACGCGCTGAAACCGAAGCTTCGGTATCTGCAAGCCTCGCTTGTTCAGGGTTTAAGGTTTTTATATTATGAGGTATAGGGCTTGAGGGCCTAGTGATTCTGGCGTGGGAAAGTTTGGATCTTAATTTTACAACATCCAAACAAACCAATAATTCAATACTCGGGTTTAGAGTAGTACTTATGTATACAGGTTGCTTGATTGGAGAGTATATGATAATCAGATAGTCCAAGAGGGTATAAGTCTAAGTTCGGTGTAAGCTCACGTCTTCGGGGTGTAGCAACAGTAGTTTCTGTTTTGGTTCTGTCTCTCCCCTTCCCACGACCAAGATGATTTTGCATAAGACTTAAGCTATATTCGAAAAATCACGTTCCTCTCGATGTTGCTGTGTGCGGGCACTTCATGGGTCTCAGAGATTCGGTGAAACCCTTGGATCCCGAGGATCCCAGACCAAGTGCCTAAGCATACTTGGAGGTTCATGGGCAGTTATAAGTAGGGTTAAAAGTAGGGTATCTATGCTTATAACCCATATTCGGGGACTTATACCCCTACTTAAAACTACCCCTGAACCTCCAAGTAAGCATAAAGTACATTCCCTGAGAAACTCTACTGCACTACGCCAGAGCGGACTAACTAGTAGGCACGAGCGCCCGACAGTGCGAGGTTGGTATTGACATTGCTGAAGCTCAGCAGCATCATATCAAACCCTGAAACTTAAATCTTCAACCCTAAACCGTTCTTCTGCCCTGAACCCCCATAAACCCCTACGCCACAATATTGTGGGCCAAAGGAGCTATGGGTCTGCTGGTAGTGTCGGATCTGGATCATGGCCGACTCTGACTGGCTAAGGTGCTTGAAGGTTCGGCCCTGCAGCGAAGGTTTACTGTAGAGATTGAACCGTTTAAAGGTGCAGGGATTTGCGCTAAAAATTGAACCCTAGAACCCGAAGGTTTGATGGTTGGGGATTTCCGGGTTTAGGATTGGCTTGACGGTTCTGCCTTCTGGTGGGTGGGGGTTGGTGTAGGCTCTACGGTCCACTATAGGATTTCCTGTGAGCATTCCTATATGTACTGTTCACTCGCAGTTCCACACCGTGTTACCGTTTCATATATAAAGGCATTCGTTTGTAGAGCGCGATTCAGCAAGTGCAACGTTAAACCCTGCGGCTGTAACCCAAAGGCTCCATGTACCCATATAGTAGGTACTTAGGCCTTAAAGGGGTCCCTATATGGCTACGTTAAGGCTTAAGTACCTACTATATGGGTACATGGAGCCTTTGGGCATCGTGGGACGAGCATGCCAGGCGGAGCCGTCACCGTGCGGATTCCCCCTGTCGGCAACCGGGTATGTCTTGACACAGACATGGTAGACGTCTGGTTCGAAAGCTCCAGTGCGAAGTTGGTCCGCCGTCAACGCGCACAGTGCTGACATGGTGCCAGATGACCAGTGTTGGCGCCGCATGGCGTTGCAACTGCATCCCGAAATAGTGCTGAGTTTTGGCTCAGCTGGGAGCTAAACTTGTGAAAGTTGCCACCAACACGTAGGATATACTTTACACTGAGGTTTGCAATTAGGGTAGCTTAGACTAGGTTCGCTAGCACGAGCCACGGCGAAATCCTAAGCCGCATCTACTTGAAATATAAATCCGAGCTAAACCGTAGAGCCTCAATCTGTCATCTCAATCGTGCTTAGGGTCTGCATTTGCGATTTCGGATGACGGTGCCACTGAGGGAATTTGGTCTCTAGGCTGTCGGGTGGCTTGGAAGATATTAGGGTCCGGGAGATATCTTTAGTGAAGCTATGCGCTGCTTGCCTGTATTTGGCAACTTGAAACTATAGTTATTTATAGGCCTATATAGGACTCCAGACGTTGGGGCACAAGCCGGCATAAATTTCACAGTGCAGCAATGCTGCCAGCAGAGGAAGCAAAGAGCAACACCTTTTATTCGTCAAGCCGCCCAGGCTGCACAACAGCCCTTTTATAGAACAGTCACATTGCTGTTTGTCAAAATTGTTATGCAATAACAGTTCGGATTGCTCAGTTTTGAAGAGCAAAGCAAACAAAAGGCATAAGGATATTGCGGTGGGGATCTCAAACGGAAACCCGATGAAAGACAGACAGACTCGGTACACCCACACCCTAATCTTGAGGCATTAGCGACAACAACAGGGTTTTGGTGGGTGATATTGCTACTAAGTACAGTAACAAGGAACTTTTAGGGATTACTATGACTATAGGAGGGCCTAGCCAAGACCCCAAAAACCCAACAGACCTGATCCTCACAGCTCTTCCTTTCTCGCTCTTTGGCTTCATCGAGCCGCTCCTGCTAGAAAGCGAGCTGCAGGCCAAGAAAGGGGACACCGATTGTTTAAGGTCTAGGGTTTAGTAAGGTCACCGGGCTGTACACGTATTTAATGGTGCCGCCATGCTTTTCGAAAGTGGTCCTTCTGTCGGACAAAGGGAGCCTAATCCAGAACCCTACATACATTCCCTGATCTGAGGGTTCAGGATGTATCCCTGTGGCAGTGGCAAAGAAGTTGGACTGTAGACATCTGCCACGTGTTGGCCCGGATGTCTATACATTCCGATGGCCATAACCCTAAACCCTAAACCGTCCCGGTCCCAGCATTGAACCCCGAACGCTCAAACCCTGAGCATGCTGCAAATAGAGCCAAACCCCGCCTCAATTAAACACATAATCTTGACGGTTGATGAGATAAATCCTGCATTACCCATAATAAGAAGTATACCATAGTCTAGGCTCATTCAGGTAATGCAAGATTTATATCATCAACCGTATTATTGAAGTGTTTCTGAAATACGGGGGTTCGGGCTCCCTCGGTAATGTAGGGGCCTGAATAAGTACCGATACTAAATTGTGGGTCCCTTGCTACAATTATTGTATACTGGGCCCTAAAAACCGATTTTTAGGATGCCCAATAACCTAGGAATAAAAAGGGCTCCCTTTTTGGTATTGTGTAACTTTATAAGGAACCTAGGACTACAAAAAGGCAATAATGGTACTACTGGGCATCCTAGATTCTACCCACAGGCCCCAAAGTAGTTCTTTTTTGGGATCACCCTATAGGATTCTATATACGAACCCCAAAAAGGAACTACTCTGGGGCCTATGGGTAATTATTCAGGCCCCTAGAGTCTGCAAGTCAGGCCTTCAGCGTGCCGGGCTCTTTCCTTCGTTTTGAAGGCCTGGGCTCACGGTGTAGGATTTAGGGGTTAGGCTTTCAGAAGGGACTGTCATGGGGCCTGGATTTTTTCACACCTTTTGCACTACTTGTTCGGAACTTGACGTTCAGGATTGCTTTGTATCGGAAGGGCCTCTGGTCCTCTGGAAGTCCTGCAAGCCGTAGTTACACCTCTAGGCTTGAGTGTTCAGGGGTTTAGGGTTTGGGGTTTCGGATCGAGGCCTTTGCAGGGCCAGCGCAGGCAGAACTTGTTTCCAGAGACTATCTGTAGGTCCGAAGGCCTACTGTTTTCGGTGTTATACCCAACTAAGCTGGCAACACCTACTATCTTGTGGAGTAGTTGTATATGAAGAGACCAAGTTCAGGAGTCCTGAGAACAAGGATCTTACTCGTCACTCAGGATCCAAATTCAGGGTCCTTACATAAAAGTCTCTTTTGCTGAACGGTACACCTCGAACGAATCCTGTAGCTTAAACACCTAGCCCGGCCCTATGGACTCGGAAACAGCTTGGAAGCAGCTCCTAGCGACTGAAGATGCAAGGGTCCAGAATTAGCTACTACCAATTTCGGCCGAAGTCTCTACTCATATTTTCAGTTATTGGTGCCAAAGTATAATGTACTATACTTTGCGTTAGGAATAGTGGCAAAGCCAACAGCCACAAGCCATGAGGCTGCAGAGTTCTTATGTCTCGGGGCTTCAGGGTTTAGGTAGCATCAGCGAGTTCGGGTAGCAGAATTCAAGGTCAAGATGCGGACCCCTCATGCAAGAAAGGCAAAAGTCTGAGAAAGTTTCCTGAGATGGGGCCCCTTGTCACTGTGTCTGTACTAGCCCTTGGAAACTAGAACTTGCGGAGGTCATGTTCTCACTCTTAGGGTCCGCTGCAGTACTGCGAGTATACAGCATAGCCGTATAGCCCTTTGTTCAGACAACACCCAAGCAGCTGTGGATCTGAGCACACACATGTTACAGACTTTTTGGGGTGGGGCGTCCTGCCGGGACCCATGGTACTAAGTACGATGCATGTGAGAGCTTGAGAAGCCCTAGAAGAAACCTCAAAACAAGCACGCCCATAACCCTAAACCCTAAATCCTAAACCCTACATCCTAAACCGAAGCCCTAAGCCCTAAACCCTAAATCCTAAACCCTACATCCTAAACCGAAGCCCTAAGCCCTAAACCCTAAATCCTAAACCCTACATCCTAAACCGAAGCCCTAAGCCCTAAACCCTAAATCCTAAACCCTACATCCTAAACCGAAGCCCTAAGCCCTAAACCCTAAACCCTAAACCCTACATCCTAAACCGAAGCCCTAAGCCCTAAACCCTAAACCCTAAACCCTAAACCCTAAGACTACACCAAGGTAGCCTTTTTGGGGGTCCGGGAGCCCAGGGCCGAAACTGTCTATGCAGCCTCATACTTTTAGCCCATACTTAAAGGATCATGGGACTTACTGTTGATGATACAAATCCTGCATTACCTTAAGGACCCTAAACTATGGGAATTATGGTAGATTCCTTATTATGGGTAATGCTGGATTTATATCATCAACCGTAGTAACTCAGGTTATTATGAGGGTAGTAACTCAGGTTATTATTAGGGTAACTATACTTATAACTACTTATAACCCCAATTAAGGTACTTATAACCTTACTTACTAATACTTACTAAGTTCCAGGATCCTCCAAGTAGGCCCCAAAGTAGTTCCTTTTTGGGATGACCTTATAGGATTCTATATATGAACCCCGAAAAGGAACTACTTTGGGGCCTTAGGGTAACCCTATTTCTGCACCCTCCAACCGAAAACCCTGAGCCCGGTGTCTTCGACGAGCGAGATGACGGCTTTGCAGTTTCTTCCGCATCCTTCTCCACGACTATTGGTTCAAGGTTTAACAGGCTTGGGGCTTGGGGATACGGCCTAAAGGATGGAGGTTTGAAGGATTCAGGTTGCAGTTGAGCATTTCCTATCGTCTCCATTGTAGTTCCTTTTTTTGTGTAGCCAAATATATAGGATCCTCTAAGGCAACCCCAAAAAGGAACTACAATGGAGACTATATAGGTTAAGTTCAAACACATACGACTAGTTACGGTTCTACATGCGGAATCTGAGCCGGTTGAAGCAAGGACCAAGCCTGGAGAGTCGCCTTCACGGAGCCCCGACAAGCTGAGACACCGTCAAAGTCATACCCCAAGGGCAAAAGGAGGGACCCTTAACAAGGACCCCTAGGTATATACCCTTACCATTATATACCCATTATCTAGCTCCAGCTTGATCATGTCCGGGTTGCGGCTCTTGCCTATGCTGGCAGGACCAGAAACGACGGTGCCTACATGTGCCTACCGCCTCCCCATATTCCGTCGGGCGGGGCGAAGGGGGGGATATATATATATATATACACACATATATCCTATGCCCGAAAATCAATCTAAACCATGTACTATGTACCCTGAACCCGAACGCCCAACCGCCCTAAAGCCTCGGAAGCTTCTGTTGCAGCGTTGCGTTTCGATCGGACCATCCGCCGAGATGAGAGTTGGAGTGCGGCGAGGGGGAGGGGTTGTATCAGGGCTTGGGGCTTTGGGGTTTTAGGGATTTTAGGGGTCGGGTTGAGGGTTTAGAGGTTCAG